GCAGGCTCGCACTGAGGCACGCGCGCCGTGGGCATTCCCGGCCCTGCGACCCGTCCTTCCTCGTTTCCACGCCCTCTCTCCCGAGCTCCCCGACCCCGACACCCCTCCCGGAGCCGCAGCCTTCCAGAGTCGAGGAGTTTTAAAAAGTTGGGGCTCGAAAAGCCAGGAAGGTACGATGGCTTCCTCGTCTGGCAACGACGATGACCTCACTATCCCCAGAGCTGCTATAAATAAGATGATCAAAGAGACTCTCCCTAACGTCCGGGTGGCCAACGACGCCCGAGAACTGGTCGTGAACTGCTGCACTGAATTCATTCACCTTATATCCTCGGAAGCCAACGAGATTTGCAACAAGTCGGAAAAGAAAACGATTTCGCCGGAGCACGTCATACAAGGTAAACCATTGGTGTGGGGCTCGGCTTGAGCGAAGGTCCCAGGCAACAACTTCGCTAACAGTAGGTAGCCACTTGGCGTCACAGAGCCCTTATTCCATTTCACGAGTAAGTACTGTTAATGGAAAAGTCACAAATGGCACAGAGACAGCTTGTCACCTTAAGAAAATACCCGTGTGGCATTCTTGGGACACTTTTTCATCCAGCTAGTATTGCAAATGAGGAATGCAAACGTCCTCAGTACCAACTAGTGCAGGTTGTAGTAAGGTCTTAACGCAACAAGTAAAACGTGGATGGTAACAATCGAGAAAGGAAACAGAAAGTTCTCTCCCAGCAAGTTAAATTTTAGATAGACCTTCAAGCATGAGTTGAGCCAGAGAGAGAGCGCTTTTCCGCACCTGACCCTTTTTACCATAGTGGAGGGAAAGATTCATGTGGAACACAGATCAGTGGCGTATCGTTTACCTAGCACGAACAGGTCCTGGGTTTGATTGCCAGCACTGAATTTAAAGAAATAAAAAGGAATTAAAGTTTATTGCCTTCCAAAAAGGGAGTCTAATTTTGCTTCTTAAAAAAAACATGGTAAATCCATCATCACCAGGTTACCAAAGTACTCCTGTAATAGAAAGGCAAGTGCCACATTTTTTTCTTTTTGACTCCCTCTGACTTTTGATTGTTTTGTTCTTTGAAAATGTTTGAAAGCTTGTTTTGAAAGTTTTGCAAAAGATGCCGGCACTCCCCGCCCCGCCCAGCCAGGAAGAAAGAAACTGCTGAAACTTTCAGAAGTGCTGACTAGCATGTCTTGGAAAAAGTTTGCAGTAGGGATTTGGGAGTCTGCATTTTGATGGTTGCAGAGAAGGGGAAAAGTACTTTTAGCAATTTTGGAGGAAGTGCTCTCTGTGGCTTTTCATGCAATCTAACAGAAAGTCAAATTCAGTTTGAGATAATAACTTCTATTTTGTAATAATCTAACATTTCGTGTTTACTTCTGAAGTTAAGAAAACAAATTTAATCAAACAATGCAGGTAGTTTATCATTGCCCTTTTATAATTTAACTTTAAATTTTTTTTACTTTCAATTTCCTGTTAAGGTGAAGTGGACAGCACATCTGTCCACTTCAGATTGACCATATCCATTTTTCCACTGTCAGAATTGACAAAGATCAAATGATTAATTTTGAGCCTTTATCCTGTGCTGAAGGTAGATTTAAAGTACACCCTGCTGTGTTTAGGTTGTCTCTTAAGGCTGAATACTTATCATGCCAGAAGTCAATCCTAGTAAGGAGTAGAGCCACAAGATGTGTGTATGTACATATACACATGTATATGTATATAAATAATTGTATTACATACACATGTACTCTGCCATTTCAGTACATAGTAGGTAACCCCTTAAAAAAGCAATGTTTGGTTTTGTTGTTTTTTGTTTTGTTTTGTTTTTGTTTTTTCAGGGTTAGAAGCAGGATGCTAACAGGATCTTACTGTGTAGGCTAGCCTAGATCTGTATGCAAGGTCCTCTTCCCTCAGTCTCTTGAACACTGAGATTATGGGCATGCTGAGATCACCATTCCCTGCTGCTTATTTGATTATTTGTGTGTATGTTAAATTTAGGGCCTTAAATATGCTAGACAAGCACTGTACTACAGAGCTGTGTTCCCAACCCACCATTTTGAATCTCGAAACTGCCCCCCCCTTACTGGTTTGGTTTGGTTTGCTGAGTGGTAGGAAAAATGGAAGCCTGTTATCTGTTTTTATTTTTACGTTTTATATATATGATTGTTGTCCTAAATCTTTGAGAAGATTATCTAACAAATAGCTAAAATTCTTAAAGGAAAAGACATCACTTTTTAATGAAAACTGCAAAGGATTTCAGTAGGATCTGCCTAAACATTTGTTGGTACCACGAAAGTGATGATTGTTCCAAAAATCTAATAACAATCTGTCTTCTTGGGGGAAGGTTCATTTTTGTTTCCTAGGATATAGTTAGAGCTCTGATTGAATAAAAGTATAGCTGTAGCAAGTGATGTGCTAATAGTTCAACTTTGGAATATGCTAACTTCAGTTTAGTACATGACTCAGAAAGCTAACAGTGGATGGCTATTTGCTGTGATGATGGCGATCTACTGATGTTAAAAAACTGAATTGACCTGTTGGCACTTACAAATTTACCTTTTTCTTGTAGTGTTGCCATTAAGTATGAAAGAGGGGCTGGAGAGAGGACTCAGCAGTTAAGACCATTGACTGCTCTTCAGAGGACTCGGATATAATTCCCAGCACCCACATGATGGCTCATAAGTGTCTGCAACTCCAGTTCTAGGGGACCCCACACACAGGCAAAACACCCAATGCAGCCAGGTGGTGGTGGTGGCTTACGCCTTGAGGCAGGTGGATCTCTGTGAAGCCAACCTGGTCTACAGAGTTCCAGACCAGTCAGGACTACACAAAGAAACCCTGTCTCAAAAAAAAAAAATTATGTAAGAATTTCTATAGTTTTCCCCCAATTAGTATAAATTTTATGCATTTGTAATTTCATATATGTCTTAAGGATGTTTTTTTTGTCCGGTTTTGGCTTTGGTTTTTTCGAGACAGGATTTCTCTGTATAGACTGTGCTGATCTTGAACTCGGAGATCAGCATGCCTTTGCCTCCCTAGTGCTTTTTTTTTTTAATTGAAATTTATTTATTTTATAAAATACATCAGAATTTTATTGCTTGGAGAATACAGCATATGAAATCACAAGAACATCAAAATGAAAAGTCACTAGGCTTCAAACACAGAATACATTACCAGATGCAGTAAAATATTAATTAACTTGAAGTCCCTAGTGCTTTTTAAAATAGTTTTATTTTCTTGTATGTGAATGTTTTTCTTGCCTGTGTGACTGTGCATTGCTCACCAAGGAGGGTATTGGATCCTCTAGAACTGGAGTTACAGGTGGTGGTGAAGCACCGTGTGGGTGCTGGGAATTGAACCCAGGTCCTTTGGAAGGACAGTCGGTGCTCTTAACCTGAGCTATCTTTCCAATCTCCAGATTTCCACTTTTTTTTGGGGGGGGGGGGTTTCGAGACAGGGTTTCTCTGTGTAGCTTTGGAGCCTATCCTGACACTTGCTCTGGAGACCAGGCTGGCCTCGGACTCACAGAGATTCACCTGCCTCTGCCTCCCAAGTGCTGGGATTAAAGGCGTGCACCACCAACACCAGGCCAGATTTCCACTCTTAACTGTTACAAACAACAACCATTGTAACAAACTCTGGCACAAGTACTTGAACAGTACTTTGAGTAGCTTTGTTCTAAAGCCTAAACTGTAATGTATTTGGAAAGTGGATATGAAGTAACTTTTGAAATCAGAGAAACTGAGTGATTTGCAAAGAAGTTACAGAAAATAAGAATGGTACATGCTGTGTTACCTAAATAATACCAATATTTGAAATTTGCATTGTAAACTATTACATGATTGGTTGCTTTTTACAGCAGGATTTTTTGGTTTTTCGAGACAGGGTTTCTCTGTGTAGCTTTAGAGCTTATCATGGCACTCACTCTGGAGACCAGGCTGGCCTCGAACTCACAGAGATCCGCCTGCCTCTGCCTCCCGAGTGCTGGGTTTAAAGGCGTGTGCCACCAACGCCCGGCTATAAGTCTGTCAGTTTCTTAAAGAATACAAAAAAGGGCAAATATTTGGAATTTACTGGTTAATGACATAGTTTGTCCCATTACAAAAAAGTAGTCTAGGAACACATACATATTCATTAAGTTACAGAAAGATAGGATGAAAGAATAGTTAAGTTTTTCTTTCCTCCAGTATACCAACAGAGAGTGTGGTAATACACGAGTGTCCCTATGCTGAGGAGGCTGAAGTAGGTGTCTGGGCTATTGAGATTCAAGAAGAAAAAATGTGCAGGTCCCTTTAAAGTACACAAATCAGCCTTCCCAGCAGTGATGGCCTCCCTGCAGGAACATGCTTCTGGCCAAAGATTTTCATTCCTCTCTAGAAGACCAGAGGAAACAAAACAACAAAAACCAGCTGTTGCAGAGCCCCAGCGCCTACTTCACAGATATGAAATGCCCAGAGTACACCAGTCTTTCTCATGTGCTGGCTGCTCCACTGGTCTCTCTGTCAGCCTGCGGGAGGCAGAAAAGAAGGCTGACAAAAGGGGCTGTTTCAGGAAGCAGTAGCACTAAAAGCAGGTACCTCAGTTAACCTGGGTAAGGATCAGCCTAACCAATACATTTTGGGTTAAAAACAACATACAAATCTTTATTCTCCAGTTCCGTATTTGTAGGCGGGAAGAATGTCACATTTTTCACTTAAAATTCAGCAAGATAATATAGGTCAAAGTAGATTCTTGCCTCACTGGACGGGCATGAAGACCCCTGACAAGCATGACAAGCATGGCATAGTACTCCCAGAAAACTAGGAAACACTTCAGGACTGAGAATTGTCTATTTCTCTAATCTAACCAGTTTCTAGCACAACGCTAAATGCTTGGTAATATTCAGTAAGCAAGTGTGGGTCAGTGGGAGAAAACAAAAGCCTCGGGCGGTGGGCGTGGTGAACTTGCCTAACAAGCAAGAGGCTCTGGGTTCAATTTCTACTAGCATTAAAAAAAAATCATTTTAGCCGGGCGTTGGTGGCACACGCCTTTAATCCCAGCACTCGGGAGGCAGAGGAGTGGGATCTCTGTGAGTTCCGAGGCCAGCCTGGTCTCCAGAGTGAGTGCCAGGATAGGCTCCAAAGCTACACAGAGAAACCCTGTCTCGAAAAACAAAACAAAAAATTAAAGAGGGAAAAATTAAGGCCTGTGCCTTGAAATGTTCCATTAGCTTTAACCAGTCTATAGATGAGCATGGGGTTGGAGAGCAAAAGTAAAACTTAAAGAATAATGGTTGATTAAAAATATCTTGTCTTAACCACCCAGTAGTTACTAAATAACTGCCTCCCAAGAGGAAACTAACACAAAAAAGTAAATGTTTCCTAAGTGAGAGAGAGCCATAGTTTTCACCTTTCACATTTTCATTTCTGTAGCACTAGAAAGTTTGGGCTTTGGCTCTTACATCAGTGAAGTAAAAGAAGTCTTACAAGAATGCAAGACAGTAGCACTAAAAAGAAGAAAGGCCAGTTCTCGTTTGGAAAACCTTGGCATTCCTGAAGAAGAATTGTTGAGACAGCAACAGGAATTATTTGCAAAAGTAAGTAATATGCTTTAAATTATTTTCATTGGAAATTGACCAAAAAGTCACTTCAGAGGATTCTTCCTCCAGCTCATTGCTTGTTACAGAGTCTAATGTTTAGAACTTGACAAGTTTGACTCTGGTTCATGTAAAAACAACCAGTTTTCTTTCTTTTCTTTTCTTTTCTTTTCTTTTCTTTTCTTTCCTCCCTCCCTCCCT